CAGACTGTGTTTCTGTAGAGAGAGAATCAGACTGTGTTTCTGTAGGGAGAGAATCAGGCTGTGTTTCTGTAGGGAGAGAATCAGACTGTGTTTCTGTTGGGAGAGAATCAGACTGTGTTTCTGTAGAGAGAGAATCAGACTGTGTTTCTGTAGGGAGAGAATCAGACTGTGTTTCTGTAGAGAGAGAATCAGACTGTGTTTCTGTAGGGAGAGAATCAGACTGTGTTTCTGTAGAGAGAGAATCAGACTGTGTTTCTGTAGAGAGAGAATCAGACTGTGTTTCTGTAGAGAGAGAATCAGACTGTGTTTCTGTTGAGAGAGAATCAGACTGTGTTTCTGTAGGGAGAGAATCAGACTGTGTTTCTGTAGAGAGAGAATCAGACTGTGTTTCTGTTGGGAGAGAATCAGACTGTGTTTCTGTAGAGAGAGAATCAGACTGTGTTTCTGTAGAGAGAGAATCAGACTGTGTTTCTGTAGAGAGAGAATCAGACTGTGTTTCTGTTGAGAGAGAATCAGACTGTGTTTCTGTAGAGAGAGAATCAGACTGTGTTTCTGTTGAGAGAGAATCAGACTGTGTTTCTGTAGGGAGAGAATCAGACTGTGTTTCTGTAGAGAGAGAATCAGACTGTGTTTCTGTAGAGAGAGAATCAGACTGTGTTTCTGTAGAGAGAGAATCAGACTGTGTTTCTGTTGGGAGAGAATCAGACTGTGTTTCTGTAGAGAGAGAATCAGACTGTGTTTCTGTAGAGAGAGAATCAGACTGTGTTTCTGTAGAGAGAGAATCAGACTGTGTTTCTGTAGAGAGAGAATCAGACTGTGTTTCTGTAGGGAGAGAATCAGACTGTGTTTCTGTAGAGAGAGAATCAGACTGTGTTTCTGTTGGGAGAGAATCAGACTGTGTTTCTGTTGGGAGAGAATCAGACTGTGTTTCTGTAGGGAGAGAATCAGACTGTGTTTCTGTAGGGAGAGAATCAGACTGTGTTTCTGTAGGGAGAGAATCAGACTGTGTTTCTGTAGAGAGAGAATCAGACTGTGTTTCTGTAGGGAGAGAATCAGACTGTTTTTCTGTAGGGAGAGAATCAGACTGTGTTTCTGTAGGGAGAGAATCAGACTGTGTTTCTGTTGGGAGAGAATCAGACTGTGTTTCTGTAGAGAGAGAATCAGACTGTGTTTCTGTAGGGAGAGAATCAGACTGTGTTTCTGTAGAGAGAGAATCAGACTGTGTTTCTGTAGAGAGAGAATCAGACTGTGTTTCTGTAGGGAGAGAATCAGACTGTGTTTCTGTTGAGAGCGAATCAGACTGTGTTTCTGTAGAGAGAGAATCAGACTGTGTTTCTGTAGAGAGAGAATCAGACTGTGTTTCTGTAGAGAGAGAATCAGACTGTGTTTCTGTGGGAGAGAATCAGACTGTGTTTCTGTTGGGAGAGAATCAGACTGTGTTTCTGTTAGGGAGAGAATCAGACTGTGTTTCTGTAGGAGAGAGAATCAGACTGTGTTTCTGTAGAGAGAGAATCAGACTGTGTTTCTGTAGGGAGAGAATCAGACTGTGTTTCTGTAGGGAGAGAATCAGACTGTGTTTCTGTAGGGAGAGAATCAGACTGTGTTTCTGTAGGAGAGAATCAGACTGTGTTTCTGTAGAGAGAGAATCAGACTGTGTTTCTGTAGAGAGAGAATCAGACTGTGTTTCTGTTGAGAGAGAATCAGACTGTGTTTCTGTAGAGAGAGAATCAGACTGTGTTTCTGTTGAGAGAGAATCAGACTGTGTTTCTGTAGGGAGAGAATCAGACTGTGTTTCTGTAGAGAGAGAATCAGACTGTGTTTCTGTAGAGAGAGAATCAGACTGTGTTTCTGTAGAGAGAGAATCAGACTGTGTTTCTGTTGGGAGAGAATCAGACTGTGTTTCTGTAGAGAGAGAATCAGACTGTGTTTCTGTAGAGAGAGAATCAGACTGTGTTTCTGTAGAGAGAGAATCAGACTGTGTTTCTGTAGAGAGAGAATCAGACTGTGTTTCTGTAGGGAGAGAATCAGACTGTGTTTCTGTAGAGAGAGAATCAGACTGTGTTTCTGTTGGGAGAGAATCAGACTGTGTTTCTGTTGGGAGAGAATCAGACTGTGTTTCTGTAGGGAGAGAATCAGACTGTGTTTCTGTAGGGAGAGAATCAGACTGTGTTTCTGTAGGGAGAGAATCAGACTGTGTTTCTGTAGAGAGAGAATCAGACTGTGTTTCTGTAGGGAGAGAATCAGACTGTGTTTCTGTAGGGAGAGAATCAGACTGTGTTTCTGTAGGGAGAGAATCAGACTGTGTTTCTGTAGGGAGAGAATCAGACTGTGTTTCTGTAGGGAGAGAATCAGACTGTGTTTCTGTTGGGAGAGAATCAGACTGTGTTTCTGTAGGGAGAGAATCAGACTGTGTTTCTGTAGGGAGAGAATCAGACTGTGTTTCTGTAGGGAGAGAATCAGACTGTGTTTCTGTAGGGAGAGAATCAGACTGTGTTTCTGT